AAGCGGGAGGCCCTGCTCTCCCGGGAGGACTCGGCAGAGCTGGCAGCGGAGCACCGGAACCTGATGGCCTGGAACGAGGAAGAGAATGCCCGGCAGCGGGCACGCAGGTCAGCCCGGCCCCACACGAAAACAGCGTCCCCTTCCCTTCCCAGCTTTGCCTTTTGCTCACGCAGAGCTAACTCCGATGCCCGGGGCACTTAGAGTCAGGCTTCATTTTTATAAAGCCACTTGACCTGAAGTTTGACCTTTTTCCAATAAATCTCATGTCTCCAGCCCCTCTCGCTGCTGAGGGGTAAGTTGCCAAGCTCTGGACACCTGTGGAGGAGGTGGGTGTTATCGGGGGGACAGTGTCCCTGCGTGGGCTCCCAGGGAGCCATTCTCTGCCCGGACACGGGAGGCACGTTGGTGCTTCCAAGATAAGTCGGTATCTGCTGAATCTCAGAAGCGGGAGAAGGTTAAAGGGAAAAGCCTGTCTGTCTCTCCCATCCCCACTGGCTGTCCCTTGGCCTGTCACAAAGCGCTTGAGCTTCCCCATCTGTGTCCTGCCAGAAGAATCCCATGCTCCCAAACGGAGCCAGACCCTTCTGTGTCTCAGGTCTGTGGGTCTCAAGTCTGTTTGAAAGCTTTGGCGTTCCAATTTTACGTTCTTTTTTCCCTGATAGGAGGAGGAGGGAACCCTCGCTGGGGACAGCATGGGCTGTGCTCCTTCCCCTTCCTCCTGGCTGCGCTCTCCCTTGGCAGCTTTGCATCCCGAGGGGTTAGTGTGTCGCACCAACGTGCCGCCCCACAGAGCCTCAGCGAGGCCTTATTGTTTTGTTTCCCTTTCCGTGTGGCAGAGAGGAGAGAATTAGGAAGGAAGAGGAAGAGCAGAAGAGGCATAAGATCCAGGCTGCGGAGAAGGCGGCCAGGATGATGGAGGCTTTCCTGAAGGAGAAGGAGAAGGAGGTTCTGCAGCTGCAGGTAAGAGCAGCTGGTGCCTGCAGGGCGGAAGGCTGCCAGCGGTGCTGTGGGGGATTCGATGGCAGCCTGTGGGAGCCGTGTGGAAGCCGTAGGCTTATTTTCTTGAGGCTTTGATGCTGGTGGCTGGGAACACAAGTGTTGGCACCTTCCAGGGGTGTTGACAGGCTGTGGGTGGGACAGCGGTTGGGCGAGAGCTCTGAAAACAGACTCTTTTCCTCGTTCTGGACTGAGGCCCTGGCGATGCTGGTGGCATCTTGGGCTCCCCGCCAGCTCGGTGGGCACCAGCCGCTCCTGCGCTGCCTGTGTGCTGAGAGCCGGCGCTTCTCCCTTCCCCAGGAGGAAGCCAAAACGTTCATCACCCCCGAGAACCTGGATGTGCGGATTGAGGAGTGCCTGGACAATCCTCGCAACTACAACTTCGCCATCGACAGGGACGGGCGGATCGTCAAACGGACCGTGTTGTCTTAGCGGCCTGGGACGGGGCGTGCTGGCCTGGCTTCTGCCCAGAGGCTCTGCATACGAGCCGGGTGTGTTTTCCCTTCAGTATCTAAACCCACCGTGGAATTATTGGAGAATGGGTCTGGCTGTGGTTCTTCGGGAGCGTTAACGCCTGTGGGAGGGAGCAGGGAGGGAGCATGCAGTGGGGTACGGGGATGCAGCAGAGGAGCTGCTGCTGTTGGATCCCTTCGCTCTGACTCTGCGATTCCACTTCCCACGGGTTTGGATCCCTCACGCTTCCACACCAAGTGTGTGGGAGGGAAGAGCCGGGATGTTCGCAAGGCAGATCCTGCCCCTGAGCGCGGCGTGTCCCCCCCAGGTTGCTTTGGAAAGCAGGGGAGGCTGGAGTGGGTCGGTCAGAAGGGCTGACCCCACGCTTTTGGCTGGGGAGGGGGGGAAGAATTAACTGTTTCTCTGCTGTGGGGGAGGTTACACCCTCCTTGGCGCCTCCGTTGGTGCAGAGGGCGTCTGAACGGCTCCGGCTGTGGGATGTCTCCCGTCTCCAGCCGAGCTGGGCATCGTTAGGGTGTCAGTGATGCCGGCGTTACTCTGCCTCGCAGCTCTCGCTGGGTTCTCTCTGGCTTACCGTGGCCTCGCACACGGAGCCAGGCTCCCGGAGCACATGGGACCCGAGCTCTGCTTCCTCCCACACCCAGGCTCCGCCGCTGATTTTTGGGCTGCCTGACTCCAGCCTGGTGTTTGCAGGTCCCTCCGCCCTCCCGCGCCCGGATAAAACCCCTGGCAGGAACTGACCTTAAAATCCCTGCTTTTTGTCTACGCTTACCTAAAACTGGCTGGTTCTGTCCAGCCAGCCCCGAGCCTGCGCCTGGCGCCGGCCAGCCCACGGCAAACACAGACGCTGGTGTATTTTTCTGTACAAGCTTTATTTCCCATTAAGGTCATCGCTTAATTCCGAGTCGCGGCCCTCCGCTCGTCCTCGCTGGGGCTGGGCTGGCTCGGATCGCGGATCCGGCAGGATCTTCCCCCCCCGGGCGCTCTATGCGAAGAGCATGTCTTGGTCGCAGGACGAGTCGGCCACGCAGCCGTCTGCGCGGGGAGAGAAGGGAGAGCGAGGCCTGCGGTGAGCTGGCACGGGACGGCCCTCGGAGAACCCCTGGGCGCTGGGTTTTCATAGCGCCAGCACGTTCGCTCCCTGCCCTGTAGCTCCCGGGATTTGGAGCAGGATGTCTGGTAGCTTCTGACTCGGGGAGGAGGCTGGGATGTTTGGCAAACCGCGATGAAAGCCGGAGGGATGGGGTGCCGTGCGCCACAGCTCGCTCAGCCCCCGCGGTTTGTCACTCTCCCCCCGTCCCTGAAACCTCACCGGCTGTTACAGCCTGCCCTGGGATGGGGATCGTGTCTGGCCCTGGCTTCTGGGGAGGCGGATGGACAGACGGACGCGCCGAAGATGATCCCTCGCCTACCCTCCCGCATTCCCGCGGTTACCCCTGGTGCCCGAGGAGCCCCTCACCGCTGCCGCAGCAGATCCCGGGAGCAGCGCAGGTCCCTCCGCTGCCACCGCAGGCTTTGCGTCCCGACTCGCAGGGTGTGGGCAGGAAGTTTTCCTCCTGGCACCGCAGGGTTTCGGAGGTGCCGATGTAGCAACCCAGCTCTTCTCCGCAGCAGATGTTGGGACCGAAGCAGCGGCCTTTGTTCCTGGGACCGCAGGGCATGCACTGCTCAGGAAAGCAGGGAGAATTATTTGGGACTGCAGGGCTTTTCCCTGCCGGAGGGTCGGGAGAAAGGAAGGAGGGAAGAGGGTTAGGAGGTCTCCCAGCCCGCCAGGACCTACCTTCCTGACGTCCATGTCCGGGACGGCGCGTTTGCCGCCAATGGGGCAGTTCTGGATGTAGCAGGCGGAGGAGAGAGCCAGGAGCCCCAGGAAGCAGAGGGCCAGCGCCTTGCAGGGCATGGCTGCGGGGTCGGCGAGCGTTTCGGCTCCTCGGCCCGGCGAGCGGGCCCGTATTTATAGTGCTGGCTCCTACTTACGCATGCTGGCACCGGCGTCACCCGCTTCCCTTAAAAGCCACAAGGCATTGCTTCCCACACCGAAGGGCTCCGCTAATAGCCGGAGGTCGAGGACGTGAGGTCAAGGCCAAGGGGATGGTTTTCTCCTCGGCAGTGACTCGGACGGCGGCGGGGGGAAGGTGCGGGGGCTGCTTGGGGCTCGCGTCCCTGCTCTGCCGAGATGGGGCTCGTCCTGTGTCCCATTGGGGCTGAGGAGGGATAAAGGAAGGCATCTCCGTCGCCTGGTGGGATGCACCACACCAGGAACAGGGCGAGAGGGGCTTCAAATCCCTTCCTGGGGCGGGGAACCCAAACCTGTATCCTCCTCCGGGAGCACGTGGGGTGGTGAACGTGGCCCTTTCTACCCATCCCTGTCTTCCCAGCTCAGCGCTGGGCTTGTCCCACTCAGGGATGGGTGTGACACTGAGCCTGTCCCCACCGGCTGCCGTCCGACAGCAGACCCCAGACCTCCTCGGGAAAGGCCTCCCAGCACGAATTCCTGTCTTCCTGCTGTGCCTGGAGCATGGAGCCCTGGACCGGAAGGCGCCGCAGCTGATGCGAGGCAGGTTCTGCTCACCCCCGCTCCTCGCCTTCGTTACCGCAATTAAGAGCTTCCCGGCTGGAATCAATTCCTCTGCTGCAGACAAGCCTTAACATCTGACGAGGTCATTATCCTGGTCCCTCCCTGCACCTGCTTAATTGGGAATTGGGCAGCCCGGAGCTCCGGCACCGTGACCTCTCCTTGTCCCCTCCGGCCTGTTTCGAAATCCACCACTTAGCGCAGCCGCGGTGGGGGCAGCTGGGTCCCCATCATCCGCCCGGGGTCAGGAGGCCACGGAGCGTCTGGGGACGGACCCAGGAACACGGGTTGGAAACGGGGCT